GGAGTCCATGACTGCCTTGCGTTTGGTGACCTCCAAGTAACTTGATGTGAGTGTTTATGCTGGAAGTTAGTGCTGACCAGGAACAGCCGATGGTTTGCACGCAACCGAAGCAGTTGCTCTTAATTAATTGTACACTGAGCAGCGACTCCGAATCTGCCACATAAGTGTGCTTCTTCCGAAATTAGTCATCCAACTCGATAATTCATATCACCCACCGGGACTACCATATACGTCCTTCTTGTTGACCAAAGTAATTGTAACAGAAATTGATGAAACTCGTCTTTCTCAGTCTCAGAACTGCCGCCTGTAGAAGCGTATGCTGACATGACAAATAAACACCGTTCACCTCATCAACGTGATTTGATCTTAATAGAGCAGTCAACCGCCCAGTACAGACAAGACTATTTGCTACGATTCAGTCATGCAAGGCGCTTTCGGCCTTGGGGCTGAGGGAAAAACTCCCACACCGTAGATATAACGAGCTGTTGCCTCATGAGCATCAGATATTTTAAGATTGAGATGTAGAATATCCCAGCTTGTCCTAATACACTTGAGTTGCACGACATAAGTGATGTTTCTCATGTGTGTTTCGGAGACACAACATACATGGACACAGAGGGAAATGGGGTTTCAGTAAGAGATGCTTGTTATCCAGTTTGACGCAAAGAGTACGGACATTGAATGCTGCAACATAGATAAGATCTTTTGAGGTTATCAGGAGATTATTTTGATTTATTTTAATGTGCGCCGGTTTGGAGACGGAACACTGGTTAAGTAACTGGCTGATCGAACTACACCATTCAGTAGATGGAGAGGAGTATATGGGAGGTCCGATGTGCGAGGAGCTGCAAGGGCGAATGGTATTTCCGGGTTGCTTGAGGCCGAAGAAGTGGATTTGGTTGAAGTACCCCACCCTGAACCTTTGATTCAATTCTGACCCACAAGACGGTGCTTGGATGTAGAATTTTGTTCGGAGGCCATGTGACCCAAAAGTCTGAACCATGAGGCAGTGGTTGTTAGGGTTTCTTTACAGCTGACAATGTTGTTTTTGATGATGATGAGGGGTTCCTTAGAGACCCTTCCCAGAACCAATTACCCAATAGTCTGACCCACATGCTGCGTATGCCAGTCGACCGACTTCCTCGAAGGGCTCTCTTCGCACAACCAGGTGAAGGGTGGGAGAGAGCCAGAGGCGGTCAAACAATGACTTGGCAGCGAAGTATGAAAGCCGGTACCAACAAACTTAGCTGCACTGGTCATTGCCGTCTTCCTGGATGAGGACCCCGAGACGGGCCAATGGCTAGAGACATTGTCAGATATGGCCCAATTGCGCCCTCAATGGCGCTCGTGCATCCAAGCTATTGCCTTTAATGCATAGCTCCTTTTCCGACCCCCCTTCACTTGACAGCCCATTGACAGTGCTGGATTTATGAACCAATTTATCAGCTCCCGCCTGCCATGCGCAGCTACCTACCCCTTCCCACAAATCATCGGTGAACGAAACTGCGGCAGCTACAACCACTATACGACGAGTACGCGGTTATTACGACTGGCAATGATGATGATGATGAGTCTGACCCACTTGGCTGTAGGGAACTGGCCTAAACAGAGGGAGTATAGAGCGAGGCATTACTGTCTCACTGCTAATGTGGCTTCCTTTTGAGCAGCATTAGACTCCTTAGTTTTAATATCATTTCGGCGGTGTTGGTTAATACCCAGACGGCCACCGTCAGCCATTGAACTATCGGAGTGCGCGGCTTTTATGGCCGACCTTTCATAATCCGTCCTTCCTTGTGGGGGAGGGGGGAAGCAGCATCGCTACTTCCATAAATATGGATACGCTGGTCGCCTGGGGAAAACACCTCACTGTCTTCATAATCCTATCACGGATGACGGTACGAATATACCTCTAGATCGTCTCGTACTACGATTTCTTGCAGTACGAAGAGCCACATCTTTTCGTCGGGCTGCTTCCCGTTGAACAGCTTGGCATGGCTGAACCTTTGGTAACTGAGTTGCAGCCAGCATAGCCCGGAAGATCACTGCAGCACAGAAGCCAGACCACCACGACAAGGTCGGGCAAGTGGCATCAAGTTTTACCCATAGCACCTATAAGCATGCCGTTGCTCGGACACTTGGCGGAGTGGAAAAATGTAGTTTCCATAGCCATTTTATGGCCGGAACCATGTTTACTGTTCTCGAGTCCCGTCCCCACGCGCCTTCCCGAGACGACAGGACGAATAGGACACAGAGTGTCCATTTACAAAAGTCAAGCTAGTTTATCTGTGATTGCGTCATTCACTGTGGGCACTCTTTTTGAAAAGGGGGAACACTGCGGACGCACCACAGGTAGTTTGGATGATCATTTTTACTCATATGGAGGCAAATCAGTTGAACAAGGGTCGACCGAGGATTTCACCTTCTAGGACTGTGTTGCTGGTGAGCAATCTGACTGACTAACTGCAGGAGGCCACTTGTCTTGTTGTTGGAATGATACAGCCCAACTACTCATGCGTTGTTTTTAGGGATACATGGACCATTGTAATCAGTGATTTTTTTAGTCACCAGGAACCACTTTGGGCCTGTTGCGCGTACCATTTGGAACAGTATATGAACATTCTCAGACTGTTCAGCTTCCTCCATCTTCTCAGTTTTCTGTACATACTAAGCTTCTTGAATCACTCAGATGCCTTTTTTCACCTGAGGTCTAACAGCCGCTTGAGCTGTATTGCACTGTCCACTGGGAGTCGCATATGTCCGGGCCTTTAGTAATTTTAGACTTGCTGGAGAGAGAGTGTCAGGGTTCAGTTAGTTGTGCCGTTCCACAAACGGATTACCTAGCACCTTGCGGGGTCGTGGGCTGTAACTTCCAGTGAGAGTCAACATCAGAAGATCCGCTAACCTTAATTGACTTTAGTAGTTGCTATTGGTAGACTTATCCCACATCAGGGTCCAAGAGCTTAGTGATCTGGTGAGGCGTGCGCGTCATCCGCACTTCTGACAGGGGCAGTGAGAATCAGTAACAAACAAGCGTATGGTCCGAATCCACATAGGTGTTCCAGAGCGAGCGTAACCAGTAATTGACCCACACCACTAATAGCTAATGGCGATATAGTTTACCAGTGTTAGAGGTTGGCTCGTATGTGGGGGACAACACGTAGCCGAGTAAAGAAAATTGGCCCTAATGGCTTCTGGATCATCAGAGTTGCGCAACCGGAAGTGAGATAAAATCAATAGGAAGGTCAATTTAACCACCCTATTTGGGTCATCAACCCTCGTCTTAGAGAGATAGAGAGCACTTCAATAGCAAGCGAGTCCAGCGTACACGCAACAACCGTTTGTTGTCCGGCCTGATTCAGAGTGCGAACTTTAAAGGCTGCCAGACAAATTGTGTTTCAGGGTTCAAAGAGTGACTTTGAAGTGTCTACAGTCGTTGTGGCCGGGTTAACCGTAGGCATTGCAGTTAATGACAAAAGGCTGCCAGACAAATTGTGTTTCAGGGTTCAAAGAGTGACATTTGAAGTGTCACAGTCGTTGTGGCCGGGTTAACCGTAGGCATTGCAGTTAATGACAATTGTTGGCGAACGGATTGGTGACTCCTTAATAATAGGCCTGCGGAGATGTTGCTAGCAACGGGATATTGCGAGGAAGAAGAACAAATATGCGAAGGAAGGAAAAGAGAGGTGTCAGAATTGGCTGCTTCCGTATGGGTGCCCATTTTTATATCACAAGTAAGGCGATCCGGCTGATGATACCACGCGACGGCCGATGTGACATGAAGTGATTTACTAATGTACCATACATGATAATACGTTGCTGAGGTACTGCCAGGGTGCCCAGATCCACACTGGAGAAAATTATGTCCCCGACCGAAATGTCTAGCTAAGAGGCCCAAACACGAGATAACGGTGTTTGACGTACGACCACCAGAACAGCCTACATTTTCTAATGAGCAAGTCCGCACACATTTTCCAACCCTGAATCTGGATGACTAAGAAATTGTGGTAGTCAGACCCCAGCCCATTGTCTATGAAAGGTCCGGTGAATGTCACATATGTACTCCCGAGTATGCCCTAACTGGCTGTGGTGTTCAAATTGTCAAACTTCGGCAAGGTACAGTTTCGTGGCCACTGGTGGTGATGTTTCCATAATGGATACTAAAGTGTAGTATGATAGACTGTCTCATATTTCACAGGGTAGGTTTTCATCCAAACTACATAGCTGATGCTTATTTGGGTGGCAAAGTGTTAGTGAGCTTGCCATTGTTAGCAGATCGCTGGTTTGATAATGGGTGCTGGAACACGCACTAGGTCCTGGGATGTATGCATGGCGCATATAGCCCGTCGGACAGCTTTTAACATGTGAAGTTTTTGGTAAATCATTCGATTTGTATTAGAGCACCGCTAATTCGATACTAGATGCTGAACGTCCTCACAGTACCACTACTACCTCCCGATAAATGGGTGGCCTTTGGTCAGTGAAGAGCACTCACCTGAAATGGTATAAGCAATTTGGTGCTAACTGAGCCAGATAGAGAAATACTGTTAAAATAAGCTAATTTGGACGGTGGGTGGAACTTAGGAGTCCATTGAGTCGATATTACCAGTACATGAGACGACTTTCGAATTTGTAATTAGCACACAATGTTTCAGGGAGGCCGGTCACTTTTCATTTAATGGAAGTTTAGTGAGTTGAGCATGCCAAAATTTGCTGCCCGTGTTTTTGCGTCATCAGGAGACGTCAGTGAAGCTGGACGGAACAGCGCTTGAGCCTAGAAATTTAGAAGCCAGATTAAAAAAGCAAAGATCAAACACCGGCACTTCAACTTATGAGCGTCTGATCGCATAAGATTTTGCGAGGGTGGTCTTAAAATGCAGTATGACGAGTCAGTGTTTGTCCGGATCTAGCTATCTTTTTTCTGTTTCTTTCATCCCTCTAATTGTCTGGAAACACGGCATATCCTTACTTGCATTTCGATGCCTTTGTGTTCTCTTTAACAGCCAACCGAGTGGAAGACATGGTTTTGAAGGGACTGGATCGCAAGAAGGAGAGGACTCCGGTCGAAGAGCAGTTTGGCGATAGTTTGGTTCGCATCGGAAAAGAGTTGGGGCAGAGCAGCCCAAACGGTGAGATTGTTTTTTTTTTGAGCGATAGAAATACTACAAAGACTGATGACTGATCATTAGCGAAGATTTCATTAGTGGGCTGGGTATCCATAACTCATAGACAATAACTCAATGTCTTGACAGTTATGGGAGATCCATTTCGATCTATTAGCGTTGCCAGTTGAATTTAACTCATTACCCTTTCAGCGCAGTTTATGCATGAGGAACTGGCATTTTTTCAGCAGAAGAATGACTCAAAATCAGGTTGAATGGCAAGTTTGTTTACCAGTCTTGCTCTCTGGCCAAAGTATGTTTGCAAGGTTGGGTACCAGAACACTAGTTGGTGACTGAGCTTTTCAGTTGACTGCCTTAACAAAGGTGAACACTTGTCTGTGAAGACGATGAAATTCACTCTGGATAACTCCCCCATTGTTTATGGGACCATTTAGAGGAAAATACCTAGGATACTTCTGCAAGATCACGGGAATAGTGCCAAGCCTCTGTTCGACTTTGTTTTGTGAATAACATCAGCTTGGAACACAAGCTACAAATGCACACGTTGATAGTGTGAAGTATGCGACAAAGAGTAGTACTGCCGCATACCCTGTCAATGGAATCAGGCAATTGATTGGTAACTTTTATAACTAGCCGTGAATATGCATGAGGGGCATTTTTTCAGCAGAAGAATGACTCAAAATCAGGTTGAATGGCAAGTTTGTTTACCAGTCTTGCTCTCTGGCCAAAGTATGTTTGCAAGGTTGGGTACCAGAACACTAGTTGGTGACTGAGCTTTTCAGTTGACTGCCTTAACAAAGGTGAACACTTGTCTGTGAAGACGATGAAATTCACTCTGGATAACTCCCCCATTGTTTATGGGACCATTTAGAGGAAAATACCTAGGATACTTCTGCAAGATCACGGGAATAGTGCCAAGCCTCTGTTCGACTTTGTTTTGTGAATAACATCAGCTTGGAACACAAGCTACAAATGCACACGTTGATAGTGTGAAGTATGCGACAAAGAGTAGTACTGCCGCATACCCTGTCAATGGAATCAGGCAATTGATTGGTAACTTTTATAACTAGCCGTGAATCCAGTCTTTTTTGTTATGTACATGTGCTCCATGGTTAGCCCAGGAACATGAACAAAATAACCTCCGTGTACAGGACTGATTTGTATGCTGTTTACCATAGTAGATGATGACAATCATCAATATGACACAAATGTGGATGAAGTTTCGTTCGTAGTGTGTGCCCAAACGCACGCCTGGAACGTGTCAGACGCCCGGAGGCACAGATGCTGCACCCTTCTGCATGCTGACTGACGGTTCTCGAGTTCCATAACTTCTCAATTGCTCCGTGCAATCGGTACACCCGCTGTCTCTCTATACCGCATTCCAAAGTTAAAGTGTCACTTCTTTCGTTCGATAAGCTCCCCCTGTGTGTTCGCGTACATATACCGCCTAATTGCTTTCTACTGTTTTCCATTCGATGTAGCTAGCGCCATGATCAAGTGCGGCCAAGCTCAAGCCCTCCTTGGGAAGGCTGCTCGTACTATGCAAGAAGGCATCGAGTGCTCCTATCTTGAGTGGCTTCGAAACTTCCTGAAAAGCAGTGTTCGAGTCGCTTCTGTGAGTATTTGTATGCGCTATTTGACCCAACCCCCTTTGGTTACCCAGAATATCCAGGATCATTTTGTGGTGATCATTGTTGGATTAGTTCACTTATGTGGACTTAGCTTTTTGTCGTAGTAAAAGGAAGGAGACCTTCGCTCCCGAGTTATTTATTAGGAAATACCGACTGACCGGTTACAGACCATTGGACAGGGAAGCAAAACTCTAATCAGCATCTTCTTTACAAAAACTGAACATCCATGTTCTCCTGAACGCGTCTTCTTTAACTTTCCTGGAGATTCATTGACTCCAGTCATTCCTCGCTCAAATCGAAGCAAATGTTACAAAGTGACTCCACGAGTTCCACAACAGATCTCTCCTTTTCAAAAGACGCAAAGCGAAATTCCACGAACAACGCATACTATTCGCGTGCCTCCCATCAGTAGTATCACCGTTAAAGTAGTAGTTCATTGGGGTTCCGTTCAGCTCAGAGTGTGGACATGCACCAATAATTATAAGCAAGCTCATTCTCTCGCCATTCATTAGAAACGAGCCATATTGAACCAAGTTGAAGCAACAAGCTGGTAAAAACCTATGGTAAACCGTTTGTAAACCAATCGTTCAACTAACTCCTGAGAAGACGTGTTGTCGAGTTCGCATACTTTTGTGGCCTACCGTTTTTCTTATTCACCAAGGTCAGGATCAATCGCTTGATTCCAGGTGGTTGATTTCCAGGATGTGATTCTATCGTAGTTTAGGTGAACACTTGATAGTGGCCTCTCTTTCGCTGTTTGGAAACCATTTACATTTAAGGAGTGAAATGTCAGGAGGGACCTCTGTACTAGCTCCTCGTTTCCAACGAAAAACAATGAGTCGTGGGTCCATGTTAGATGGCGTGTAGAAGCTTTTTTTATGCTAACACTTCGGGAACAACAGAATTCGAAAACGACCGAATAACCTCATTTGCACCACTATCGATTTTCAGCCACCTTGTGTGTCTGAATCCTTGAAGTCTTACTATGCCTGTTATTTTGAATGAACTCTAGTTGCCTCTGCTGTCGCGTTCTGAACATGCCTACCGACTAAGCTGTTGTGCTGACCTGAAAGCGAATCGCTCCATCCGATCTGAGTGCGTGTGCCTACATATTCTAAGCAGCATCGATTTACAGTGCGGACAGTGAGTTTGTGAGAGGAGTCACCCGTACCTGGCAATCGACTCATCGGTGAACAGAGATCAGTCGAGTCTATATTGAGTCTATATTGGGCGTTCACTTCGTCGTCGCGTCATCCGATGCCCGGAAACCGCGGTTGTCAACAATGAGTAATGTCACATCGTAGTGACTGCACTACCTTGGTCTTGCAGTATTTGTTCGCATTTATGACGGTCTCACTGTGTGCTAGCATGCATGAACCAGTATCACTTTCCCGATGAGATTGAAACATGTTTGCAATCAAGCAGTGTGTGGTACTAATAGTGTCACAAAATCGTTGAGAATAGACTCAGCAGGAGTTTCTGGTCTGCTCAGTACGAGGACCAACATGATGTGAGCTTCTATGGAAGGGGGTGGTTTATGTCGGTCTATGGTACCAGGTAACTTGTGTGTACGATGCAGATGCTAGATAGATATATTAGAGGATGTCCGAGGTGTATTTCGTTTACAGACATTGTTTTCCATGTCTAGCAATATCATGAACTAGAGTCTGAGACAAATTCGTTTGTTGGACGATGATTCTGAATCTAAACTACCACAATCTGACGAGTGTCATTTGCTGCTGTACTGATTCTGACTGATCACCAAGCCCTCGCTTATGCATCATTTCGCTGTGAACGTGCTGTAGCGTTGAATCTCCTTGGAATGGCGATCGTGCTTGAGTCAGCTGTTCACATCATAATTTTGTCCACATTCTTCGTTTAGCAAGAGCGAGATAACCTGGACAACCTTCGTCTGGATTTGGACAGAGCCAAGACCCTATTGAAACGCGCCAAGGACGACGCAGCCAAAAAGCAGGTAGGTGGGCACTTCAGTCACCGGTAGATGGCCATAAATTTTATCCTTCCTCTGGTTCCACATCCGTACAGTTGAAACTCTTTTGACACTTGACTCACAAAACGTTCGTTCACTCGTTTCCACATCCATGTGTGATTAGAAGTAGTGTCAAACGAATGTATCGTTTTCAAGTGAATATCCGGCATAAAGACTTTCTCTAGATTCCGTTATCCACGATATCAAAAAGCTGTTCCCTACAGGCATTATGTGAAGATTGATCGAATAGTCCAGCAGTTGACTATTGGTTCGTCTGTGTTTAAAGGTAGGCACACGCTGGTATGGTTGTCGATAATGATTACATAAATCCTTCCTAGACAAATCCAAAAGATTTATGCTGGCCGTTTGCACGTAAAGATGACTGTAAAAGACAAACGCAGTTCAGAGAACCAGCTTACGTTTTTAATGTCTCAAAGGCCAGGTCGAACAGATCCCAGTGGGTGTGAACGCATTCTCCTAATCAAGTCGTCTAGCTGACACACGTTTCTGGGGTCAACCGATTGCAATCCGTAGCCAAGGGGTCACCTGACCGCCTCCGACTGCGCCTTCTCAGCCAGTTCCGAGCTAATCTTGAAATCGAGCCTTTGAAAATCCGACCTAGTTTTCATTCTGTGGACAAATTTTGGATTATGAACGTCATGGCTTAAGGCGACTAATTAGAACAACCGTTTTCAGCGAGGGATCTTTGAGCCCAACGGCGCTTTAAGGTAGGGGACGTACCGCCAAATGTGGGAGTGAAAGAATCACGAATGACTCTTACTACAGATGAACCCCTTGCCTAGAATGCACGATATGGCAACAGTAATTCGATGCCTTCGGATACCAGACTGATCAGCCAACAGTTCTTGGAGAACCGTTTGCACGCCACTGGTAATTCCACTCTTGCGTATGGCTTTTCTGTTGTTCTAAACCCACCCGTTTCCATGGCGGAATGAATTCTTCCTTAGTGAAGGGGGGGGGGGGCTTGGCGTGAAAGGCTGTGCAAGTCAGCGGTGGAAGAGTAGGAAAAGAATAACTGAGCTACAGTATGACCGGTTCCTGTCGAATCGTCAGTTTGTCCTTTCTCGGAGTTCAGACTAGGATTAGAACTCACTTAAAATGGTGATTCTGCGCAGCTCATTACCACGACATGTTGACCTCGTCTGGATCCAACAGATCTGCATGGAATATGCTCTGCAGCATGAGGAAATGAACGGCTCCCGAGCAGCACATCAGTGTGGTTGCGTGGAGCAAACAGGCTTTTCAACCTGGCTCTAGTTCGATTCATTTGTTTTGTTTAACCAGACACACCTTCCGTTTTATTACATTTTGTCCGTTTAACACTACAGCCGTCCGAACCCTTCTAACTTCTTCATTTCAGAGTGAGGAGAGTAACGCCAACGTGATGGTAAACACACCAAGCAGTCCTATTCCGCTTCTGCATTGCACACTATTGTTTTCATTGGCCTCTTGTACCAGGCCATGAATTGTTGTGGGTTGTTGTACCAACTTTCTCCCTAACGGGTCACCGTTGAGCGGTTATTAGGCTACTCTCACAATAAAACCACCGAGTGTTAAATGTTTCCAACCTCGTGGTCCGCATGACTTTTGTTCCCAGAAGCAAATGTTCTGGGGTGGGCTGCGACTGCATTTGTCATCTCGGGGTCACTTGTCCTTTTATGTATGACAAATGGCCGATTATTCGACCACTTTTCAGGTACACTGTTTCTGCTAATTAACACACATCAATGTCAAGCGGTTCCAGCGTAGAAAGAAGAACAGCTTGTTGTCCCGCGTGCTTCAGAACGTCAAAAGTAGTCAGATAGTACGTACGTCGAGGCCTGAAGACTGCGAAATGCCTGAGACTGTCGGCGCCGGCTGACGCGCGAATTTTGCGACCAAGACCAATACACGAGGAAAGATCTTCTCAGACCTAATGGGTGGCCTCACAAGGAGTGGTGGGAAGAAAATATACGCGGAGAAAGAAGGAATGCGTCACTAGTATTCTCTTGTCACTCATCCAACCTGCCGTATACAGTCAGATGAGGGCGTCATAAATTCCCGGATTGCATATCAACTCTGTTGGATTGGAATTCTCATTACATTGCAAAACGCTGCACAATGATCACCAGCGATCTTGGTCGGCAGCGGTTGCGCTCTGTAATGGGGCTAACTAGGTGTTTGTGCTTTCGTCTCCTCGTCTTATTACAAGACCACTGTAGAATTCTAGTTTGTTGGCCCGTACGGTTCTAACCACAAGAACGTGGGAACTCACCAGCTAGTGACCGCTGAGGTGTCTTGACGAAGCTCACCAACAATCGCCACCATACTGAAGTTTTCTCGCACTTGTTGGCTGTTACTGCGATACTTTTGGGCCGTTGTCTTTTTGGCATGCTTGCTTTTGTTGTCCATACTTTTCTCTAACTGGACTCCCCAAAACACACTCTCGCACCAAAGTCCAACCCGTACGGTAATTACCTGTTCTGCATGACTCACTCAAGCAGCCGAGTTTCTTGTTTCATTTACCTGTGTATTCTAACTGATCGTTCCACTCTATCCACCCAACTTTCCGAATCAACAGGCTTGCGAACAGCAAGTTTCCGAGGCCCAAACTCTGTTCGATCGTCAGTGCGAAGCCACCAAACGGGTGTTGGAAAAATGTATTTCGGATTTTGTGAGTTTTCCCTTTGATGAACAGAACATA